AAATTATTGGATTCCCCGGGAATTGTGTTTGCTCGTGATCAAGGGAATTCCGAAATTTTATTAAATAATTGCGTTAAAATTGAACAGTTGGATGATCCGATTTCACCTGGTCAGTAATAGATCATTATAATAACTGTTGGGTAATTTTTTTTACAATTCATCACCATGTTAAATAACGATTTGAATGTTTTACCTTTATCTTAGTCGAATTAATCGTTTCTCGGTGTTCACCGCAACAACTTATGAACAAATATAATATCCCTATGTTCAGAGACGTCAATGACTTCCTTATACATGTTGCTCGTCAGAGAGGCAAATTGAAGCGTGGTGGAATTCCCAATATTGAGGCAGCTGCGAGAATTATTTTACAAGATTGGAATTCGGGAAATATACCTTATTTCACCATGCCACCTACTTCTGTGGAAAATTCCATAACAATGGAAGTGGAAAATAATTAAATTATTTTAGAAGAAAGCATGTTTGTATAAATAGATCCGCTATTAAAAAGTAATAAAGTATTGGAACTCTCCTTTTTATTGATAAATAATTTGCATGTGAATTCACCTTTTGATAATGAAAATTGACTGATTTAAGAGAAACCCTCAATAATTTTAAGTTGAAGGTTTTAGATATAATTAGTATCCTGAACTTATAAATCCCTCTCGTATTGTACACGTATCAATACTCCAACTTAAATTGAGCCCACCAAGACCCTTTTATAAATCCATAATTGCCGATAACTCACCTTGATTCTTAAATAACTGCGAACTTCTGAGCTATGGTCGTATGATCGGAAATACATCGGCTACTAGATAAGTATCCGGACCTAACGTACAGTGGGCGGCCTTTATTTCTTATGGTCTTAAATAAAATAACGACTTTGACTATTATTCACGTACGTACGTACTGTACATGTTCATGGAACCAACATAAAACTGTGAAACTGGAGCAGGGACGATGATTTTCTGCAAAATGTAGAATTTGCGAATTCACTTATATTATGGATAATTACAGAATTGACCTAAAATTTGACCATGATCCAATCAAATTGCATGCTTTTCCGGAGAGTTTCGAAAGTAGTGATGTGAATGGCTCGGCTCGGCTCTCGGCTAACACTGATCAAGCTTTCGACTCAACAAGCAGAGCCGAGCCGTTTACAAGCCGATCAACTTTATGCAATTTAATTTATATACGTAGTAAATTTTTTTTTCACAAAAATATAGTCACCATTTATACTATTCACAGATGAAACTTTAAGTACTACTCTATGTAAGTATACTTCACTTAGAGACAGTTTTTAAGTAGAAAATAGTAATGTATAGTAAAATATAAACAAAGTTTCTAGAATTTTCGGATAATTTTCTATATACTTGAAATGTTAGGCTTTTTTCTTGGGTAAAGCTTTATCCGAGTAATTAAATAAATTGTCAATGTCATTAAAGTCACAATTCTAGGTGAGTTTATTATTGGCCAATATAACCCTATTGGCTCGCAGCTCCACAATCGGCTTTGAGCCGAGCCAGATGCTTTATTGGTAGGCTTGGAGCCGAGCCGTTAACCGGCTCGGCTTAGCGGTTCGGCTCGCGGCTCGACTCGAGCCGTTCGCATCACTATTCGGAAGGATAGACAATCAATTACGACAGTTCTCATAAATTCTGGGTCAACAGAAAAATTTTCTGATACTGAATCGATAAGTTACCGAGTCGAAATAAATAAGTGACCGACTTCGGAAATTTACCGGTATTTTTTCGAATTTATGAGAACACACAAAACACGAGCAGAAATTTTGCAGGTATTAATTTAATCACCGCGCGTCACGGTAGATTCTTGATTTTGATTGGCTAAGAGTGACGATCAAAACATTTGGCCGAGATTCAGAATTTTACTAATGAAATCACAACCGCCTATTAAGTGAAAATTGTTCCTGGGCCAATTTTACCATAATGTGGTCTTATTTATAAAACTTTCTATTTTTGTAATGAAAAAATCAAAAAGTTAATTCCGGCCGGAAATTAGCAAACAATTTTGTAATGGCCTATTTCTAACCTCGATCTGCTGAATTTTCTAATCTACTCGGTTGGGCACATCTCAACTCGTGATTCACGAAGAGTACCGTCTATGTAGAATTATAAATAAAGTGAGTCATGTCATAAAAATAGAAATTCAACTGTTGTATAAACGAATAATTTGTAAAAACATGAGAAAAAAGCGTTAAATTTTCAACTTACTAAACCCAAAAAAAATTGATTGTATTGTTTATTTTACAACCCTTTTTTTTTTGCTTATGTACATACTTAGATTAACGAAACATAAAAATTATCACGGCTAATTAAATTTATAATTTAATATACTATATCAGGTATAAACAATATTGCGATTTTTTTTAAAAAAAGATTTATTTTATTAAATATTCACTTTTTAATATTTTACATAATTTTAAATAGATTACATGGAAAAAAGTTTTTTTAACTAATCTTTACTAAATCAAAAAATAAACTATATATATGAAAGTTCGAACATTAATTATTAATAACATTATACATAAAACGAATAAAAATAATAAAAAATAGAGTTGCTTCGTTTCAGAGATTAAATCCCTTGTTATATGAAATATTTAATGTCTTTAATGAAGCATTAGTAAGAGCTTTAGCAATCCATATTTTATGGATATCAAACTCTTAAATATTCGTCAAGTTGCACCACCACGGAACGAAGTAAGTAAGTTTATTAATGTTTGTGGGGTGGAAATAATGGTATTCCATTCAACAATAGAGCAAAATGGAGGTCTAGTTTGATCTGCAAGATTATCTAGATTTCTTCAAGGCCGAAATCATTGTATGAGAGGGATAAATATATTAAAGTTCAACCACCACGTAGAGATGTATCTCTTCGGTTGGGAAGGCATCTCTCATTGTCCATTGGTACTTGTCGTGGCTCGATTCCCAGTTTCGAGCGGGTTGTTCATAGCTTTGAATTTGAGAAAATAAATAAAAAACTCCTTACACCACCAAAATCCACCAAAAAAACTCCCTAAATACATCAAAAAAAAATACAAAAACACTCCACATCTATTGAAACAACAATTATGAAATATAAATATAACAATAAAGAAAGAGAAGTAAAAAATGATAATAAAAGCGATAAAAATAAGTAAAATCGTGACGAAAGGCCATAATTATATCTCTATAAAATTTTGAGTCCTGCAGAGGAAAAAAGATATACTATATATCTTTGCTTGTGAATAACAATTGGAAGGTACGTATGTATATCAGCCGCCTTAAAAAATGATCTAATTTTGCAAGTCTAAATTTAAAGTATATACTAATATTAGTATATATATAGATAGTTGTACAAAAAATTAAAAAAAATTACAGTTCAGATGACACCGATATGGCTGGAATAAAGCATCTGTTGCTGAAGAAACAAGATTGGCCATGGCGTAATAGGTGCAAGCGAATCAGGTGCAACAGGTGAACCGGACGTGACAGGTGAAAAAGGTGTAACAGGTGAAAAAGGCGTAGCAGTTGAAAAAGAAGGTGTAGAAGGTGTAAAAGGTGTTAAAAGATTTTCAACCATCAAAAGTTTCGAGAGAGAACGATAAGACGAATATACAATTCTGAGTAGAATTATGACTCAAGTCTCTTTTAATTTTTGCTAATTTTGAGTTATTTTCATTGAAAGATTCGTGTTTGCGCGATCTCTTCTTATCCTTAGCCATTTTGCCACTTCCGGCTTTAGGTAGTTTCTTCTCTTTTTGCATCCTCGCGAATCTTTAAAAGTTAAGGAAACAATGTCTGCAAGTAGAGATATGATTCTAAATTTATCACAAAGGCACTGATTTTTGATCTGTACTGCAGTTAGGGATTGGAACCGTTTAACCATAAAAAATTTTTTATAGTTCTGGGCCGAATAATTGATCATAGGCCAGGTCAATTTTACAGCTATTATCATAATTTCTGGGACACCTGTAAAAATTTGCCGAATGATTTTTCGACCGATTCGGTTAAGTTATAGATTTCGGGAATAATAAGATTCAGTAACAGATATATCAGATACGTAATTTAATAAGATCTATTATTTGGCACGATCCATTTTCGCTAAAACGAAGCTTTTATTCATTTCTAATTAGTTTTCAACGAAAATTCAGTTTTAAAAAATTGTGTAAAATTTTAATTCTCATTCTTTGGTAAGATCCATTTTCGTTCAAACGAAGCCTTTATTCATTTATAATTATTTTTCATTTCTTGTCGAAGACAAAAAAATTTGGTTTTAAAAAATTGAATTAAATTTCAATTCCTATTCTTTGCAAAAATCCAATTTTGTTCAAACGAAGCCTTTATTAATTTTTAATTATTTTCAATTAAAAAATTGTGCAAAATTCAATTTCTATTCTTTGGCAAGATCCATTTTCGTTCAAACGAAGCCTTTATTCATTTCAATGAAAATTAAAAAATTGAATTAAATTTCGATTCCTATTCTTTGGCAAGATCACTTTGATTTCGTTCATCATAATTCTTCATGCATTCTCAACAAATATTAATAATATCTTGGCTGCTTGGAATTTTTAACCTGAGATTCATTTTTAAACCAACGACGAATTCATGATCATATTTAACTTTTTTAATAGCGACACCTGCCCGAGTAATTTATTTGTTATAAAAACCTAATTTATATTCGATTCCTTTTTTACGTTTCTTGTTAAGGTTTATTGGTTGACATGAACAGTTTTTTCCATAAATTTTCGTATAAACTAAGCACACCAAACATGTTAGACAAGCATTCGAACGAAAATGTAAAATCGTTGATATTATTGTTATGACAATCGTAAAATGGTCAACAAAAATAGCTTTTATTAATTATTTTATTATACTGAACATGCCAAATCAATAATTTAACCGGATCGGCCGAAAAATCATCCAGCAAATTTTTACAGGTGTCCCAGAAATTATGATAATAGCTGTAATGCCGGCTGAATTAAACGGTTAATACGGTTAAACAATTAAATGGTTAAGAAATTTTAGACGGTTCCAATCCCTAACTGCAGTATCTTGATATATTGATACGCCCCTTCTATGAATACTTCTATTGATCAGATATAGTAATATGATGAATGTTTACAGTACCATGTTATTGATATCAATTTTATTCGAATCAAACAACTGCGGACTCGCGATGATTCAAATCGTGATAAACTCGAATTATTCGAGTGAAGAGTCCAATCACTAGGCCGCAGTTATCATGAATGTCCTTTTGCATACCGAAAATGTGTACAAGGTTGAGCTCTGGATGTCGGTTCGGATGGCTACTCCGGAATTCAAAATTTCTCAATTAATTGTCAGTTATTAATAGACTTACGTACGTACATATGTTGTTTGTAATTTGAAAATACTGTAAATTCTTTGACAAAAAAAAATTATTTAATAGATTTGTGCATTTTATTTAATGAAAGAAAACTTTAATAATTTTATCAATACATTTTTTTTATATATGGCATACTCTATACAGTATGACGAACCTCCCTATAATAAACTTGTTTCTTTTCAGTACGTCAGTTCGTTATCGAAAAAGTTGGCTATAATTTATTTTTAATAATAAAAGTAACGTTAAAGATGATTTAGAGAACTAGGAAAATTTTTCTTACGAAAATACAAATAAGTTATTTAAAGAAGTTTTAGCGAATGAATAAATCTCATAGGATACAACTTTATTTTTATCATATAAATTCATGTTTTGTTGCGTAATTATTAGGCAAGTTTGATTTAAAGTTAAAGAATTTGAAGAATTAGTAGATCAACTAAATAAATATACTTTTTCTTTTCTTTAATGTTATGCGCAAATAAATATAGCAGTGCAAAGGAAAGTCGACTTTATAACATAGATCATTGTCAATATTGTTGATATTACAGTATTAAAAGAAATCGAGATTTGTTCAGTCATCGGGACCATCACATGATCATCCGGAGCACAACCTTGTACCTTTTTAATGATGACGCATTAATTTAGCTACAGAAAAGACCGACGAATATAAATTGGCTCTATCAGAGCTTATTGTCACGGGGTAAAATGATATCATAGATAATAGACAAACAAGTTTATGATTAGCTCTAAGGCTTAGATAATTTATGGAGTTCATCGGCCGATAAAAGAATGAGCCGCTATACAATAAGGTGAGTTACGTTTGAGCCTCATTAGTCCTTTAAGTTATAAAAAGGACGTAACTTGGTTAAGGTTGGTTACGACACTTATGTGCGAGGAAGGGGCACATAAGCTCACTAATCCTATAATAATTCCCATATATTATATGAACCAAAATCACCAACGTCACGTCTCTGGCGAGCTGCCTTATATCATAAAGTCTATATTTTATATTATAGATTATCGATCGTACGAATCACCCGTAACATTATACCGGGTGGGTGAAAAGTAACTAGACAGTGACCTTTTTTTTAATCATTATCATTTTAACGTTTAGTAAATTAAAAATTATTATAATTTTTAATTCATTGCAATAATTACTAAACATTAATCATATAGTGATTAAAAAAAGGTCACTGTCTAGTTACTTTTCACCCACCCGGTATATAGCAAAAAAATGTAGAGATCAAAAGATCACCGACCGTTTCCGAACATACTCGATGCTTATGGTTTTGCTGTTTTCATTATTCTGAAAAATTTTTGACTGCCAAATCGATAAGTTACCGAGTCGGAATCAATAATTTACTGACGCCGGCCGACATCAAAAACTTATCCAAAAATAATGAAAAACGGTGTAACTTGATGAAAACTTATCCAAAAATAATGAAAAACGGTGTAACTTGATGATAACTTATTTATCAAGCTATGTTGAAGGGACCGGAAAAGTCGTCGATCTTGTGATCTCGACAATTTTGCCATGGCTATTAGACTTCGGCATTGTACATAAGAAAATTTCTGGTCCGGTCCGGCTCGGTCGATCTAGCTCCAAAAGTCGAGTCTACTACAGCTGTTTTCATAATTCTTGAAACACCTGATAAAAAATTTGCCGATGATTTTTCGGCCGATTCGGCTAAATATCTCTGGTATAGGCTATAATATCAGGAAATTTTGAACCCTCATTAAAATCATCTTGGTGATTTCAGCATGATTGGTATATAAAATATTTTTATGCTATATACATGTAATATCATATATATTTCTGTATTTGCTCTATAGATAACTATTATTATAATGTAGACACATTCAACATTATTAAACTTTCGGTTGACCAACATGTTTAGTCTGTTTAGTTTGCGAAAGTTTATGTAAAGGTTGTTTTTATCATCCAATAAATCTTGACAAGAAACATAAAAAAGGCCCCGAATATAAAATAAACTTTATAATAAACATATAACACGAGTAGGTACTAATATTAAAAAAGTAAACATGTTTTTCCTAAAAGTGATGAAGGGTTTTCAATACATCCATGTCTTTGAAAGTGTTTGAGAACCCGACTTATAGAAGTTATTTAAACGCCTAAGTGTTTGACAATTTTTCGAAATGATAGGCCTTCTAAAATTTTTTCAATTGTAAATTGCTTGAAAGAATCATATGGATCTATTATGCCGATCGCATGCTTGATCGAATTGGCCGAAAAATCATTCGGCTAATTTTTATTAGATGTTTCAAGAATTATGAAAAACAGCTGTAAAATTCGGTCCGAAGTCAGACTTAGACTCGCATCTACACGTGCATATAATATATCGTACGTATTCATGCACTTTTCCGTTATAACAATACTACATGTAAATGCAAGTCGAGTCCCAAGTTTGACTTTGACCGAACTTTAATAAAGATTCGACTTTTGAAGTCAAATCGACCGGACTAGACTTTTCACATTCCTAATGGCACCCAGTGTTCGATCTTTGGAAGTTTGTTTAAATGAATTATCAAAAAGAAGCTGAGCCAACATTAAAAGGTTTCTTCGATCAGCTTTTGCCGGAACCAATCTACAAATTGAGTCATGTGACAAATGAGAAATGTTATATAATTTTCTTGGCAGGTTTTAATTGTTATGTAATTCTTAGCAGGGCTTATACGTATTATCGGAATTGAGGTATTTACTGGTGCATCTAGGACATCTTCATTGGCTTGGCAAGACTTTGTGAAACTATTGTAGCATTGCATAACAGAAAACTTAATATGCAAAAATGCAGATGATGATAATACGTAAAAGTTTTTTTGTAATACGTATAAAAAGTCTGCAGTGTGAGTACATCAAAGAAAAAATTTTAGGTTTTTCTTGGCGTCGCTCATTCTTAACTAAAGGTAGAATTCTTTACTATTTATTTTAGCCACACCTATGAATCGGGTGAATCAAGAACAAACGTTTAAAAACCAAGAAAATGACTGAATGCTTCATCATTTCTCGCAGCTCTAGCTAAAATCGAAGCGAAATCAAAAGTAAACTTCGTTGAACGTTATTACAGGTAGACAAACGTGCCTTTATTGATTTGGACCAATTTATAACCGTTGTTATTTAAAACCTCTATTTAATTCTATATCTAATAATCTTGAATTTTCAAGTATCACGCACTATTATTCTATTGAAGGGATTAAGTAATTCTATCCAATAAATTCAAGTAT